TAAACCCTAAAGCCCAAACCCTAAATCCTTACAAACCCTAAACCCTAAGTCCTTACAAACCCTAAACCCTACGTCCTTACAAACTCTAAACCCTAAATCCTTGCAAAGCCTGAACCCTAAGTCCTTACAAACCCTAAATCCTTGCAAACCCTGAACCCTAAATCCTTACAAACCCTAAACCCTTACAAACCCTAAACCCTAAATCCTTACAAACCCTGAACCCTAAATACTTAAATACCCTACGACCCGCTCAGGCCAGCCAGGATTGGGGGGTTAAGGGTTTTAATCTAACATAATAATTAATTTAAAATAATCTATTCACTCAAGTCAAGGTTCAAGGGTTATTAAGACATTCCAAGAACTGAGCCCAAACAATCATCCCTAAATCCTTACAAACCCTAAACCCTAAGTCCTTACAAACCCTAAACCCTAAGTCCTTACAAACCCTAATCCCTAAATCCTTGCAAAGCCTGAACCCTAAGTCCTTACAAACCCTAAACCCTAAGGCTTAAATCCTTACAAACCCTAAACCTTAAGTCCTTACAAACCCTAACCCTAAATCCTTACAAACCCTGAACCCTAAATCCTTACAAACCTCAAACCCTAAATCCTTACAAACCCTAAACCCTGTTGCTTCGGAGTTGCCCTGCAACCCTTAGCCCCGAAACCCTAAACCCTAATCCCCTCAACCCTAAACCCCTCTGCCATCGCATCAAAAAAACCCTAAACCCCTGTAAAGCCTAAACCCTAAACCCCTAAACCCCTAAACCCCTAAGCCCTAAACCCTAAACCCCTAAACCCCTAAACCCCCTAAACCCCCTGAAACCCTAAACCCCTAAACCCCAAACCCTAGACCCCTAAACCCCTAAACCCCTAAATCCTAAACCGGATTTCACACAAAGGCATGTCCCGTATCGGGCATCGCCGCGGGGCTGAGCCCTATGAACACGATGCTCGAATCAGACGAGCTAAGCGTGGTATGGCAACAACTCCACGGGACAATGCAGCGTCTGCGTTCCCAATCCTGGAGGCCATACGGCGAGTACAATTGCCGGTCCTGGCAAACTGGGGCTGCATATGGCAGCACGGCATCGCCACAGACACGCGGTACTGGAAGTTTCAGACCACAAACGCATGGAGACTGCGCAGCGGCTGTGAGCCGGCGCACCGGTCCACGGACCCTCAGACAGAAGCGTACATGCGCGTATATAGCGTGACAGAAACACATTGTCACGCACGCGTCACGCGTCCGCGAGGGCCCCTAGGCTCCAAGGCTCCAAGGCTCCGAAGGATTTTGAAAAATTTGGCAAACCCCTCACAAATTAATTAAAAGAAGAGGTAGTGGCGGGGTTTAGCAACGTGTTTGTTTAAAGTAGGCCATAAATCGTCTAAACCCTAAACCCTGGACCCTATTAAATTCCAGACCCTAAACCCTTTAAGATTATCACCATTTTACGGTACTCGGCTGCAGTCGATTCATTAAAATCACCTTGAACTCAAAGCCTATGAGCCCGCCGTAAGCCTAAAACCCTGCCCATAGCCCTTCCTGGCCGACGTCCCTGCCTCAAACCCCGCTCCCTAAAGCCTGGTACCCCTAAAATGCCCACTCCAGTAAAGGCCTCAACCCTTAACAGCCCCCATGAGGGTTTAGGGTTTAGGGTTAAAGTTTAATCTATTAAATAATATTTAAAAATATTGTATTTGTAGTTTTATTAAATAAATTAATTATTTAACTAATTTAATTATTAAAACAATTAAGTAAACCCTAAACCGCACTCCAATCAATGTCCTGTTCTTGATCGTCGATAATTGCTGAAACCCACGTTACACTCGAAACCCTCGACACCACACCACCTAAATCCTAAAGCCCCCCTGTACCCCCTGTATTCCTTAAGCAAAGCACACACCAAAACTTGAAAGGACCCTTCAATGCGCCCGGATGACCAGCTGGGGCAAAATCTGGGCCAGGGATCCTGTTGTCCCGTCAGATTGTTCCTGCAATGAGGGGGAGGCTCTACTGGTCGGATCATCGGCTTTGCTCCTGTCCCAGTGCCAGTCACTCGTCGCGAAGTCTGAAGTTGTGCAAGTGCACAAGCTTTGCATTCAAGGCTCCAGGCCCCCAGGCCCCCAGGCCCCCAGGCGCCCAGGCTCTCAGGCTCTCAGGCTCCAAGCCCCTGAGGCTGCATGTCTACCAGCCCTCCGTGCGTCTCCAGGCACTTTGAGGCAGTGGCTGGATGGCTGGGGTTCGGGCTTTCAGAGTGCCACCGATGCCAGCACGTTTTGGTCTCGGGGCGACCAAGCTTCCACAAAGATTGATACAAGTCTTCAAACATTGTTGCTCGTCGACGATAATTTGTTGAAACCCAGGTTACACTCGAAACCCTCGACACCAAACCACTTAAATCCTAAAGCCCCCCTGTACCCCCTGTATTCCTTAAGCAAAGCACACACCAAAACTTGAAAGGACCCTTCAATGCACCCGGATGACCCTTGGATGCAACGATCAGGCCAGGCGCTGCATCTAAGGGTGTTTTGTGTGCATCCAAGGGTCAATTGCTGCAACCCAGGTTACACTCGAAGCCCTCGACACCAAGCCACCTAAATCCTAAACCCCACCCTGTACCACCTGTATTCCTTCAGCAAAGCACACACCAAAACTTGAAAGGACCCTTCAATGCACCCGGATGACCCTTGGATGCAACGATCAGGCCAGGCACTGCATCTAAGGGTGTTTTGTGTGTATCCAAGGGTCAATTGCTGAAACCCAGGTTACACTCGAAGCCCTGGACACCAAGCCACCTAAATCCTAAACCCCACCCTGTACCACCTGTATTCCTTCAGCAAAGCACACACCAGAACTTGAAAGGACCCTTCAATGCACCCGGATGACCCTTGGATGCAACGATCAGGCCAGGCACTGCATCTAAGGGTGTTTTGTGTGCATCCAAGGGTCAATTGAGGGGTACTGGTCTGGTGGGATCATCGCCGTTGCTTCTGTCCCAGTGCCAGTCACGTGTCGCGAAGTTTGAAGTTGTCAGCAAGTGCAGCATTCAACTTAAACGTTGCATTCAAGGCTCCAGGCACCCAGGCACCCAGGCTCTCAGGCTCCAAGGCCCAGTAGAGTCGCTGCCGCCATGATTCCAGGCACTTTGAGGCAGTGGCTGGATGGCTGGGGGTCCGGCTTTCAGAGTGCCACCGATGCCAGCATCGGTGCCACTCATGCCCGTTTTGGTCTCGGGGCGGCCAAGCTTCCACAAAGATTGTTGGTGGGAACTGATTGCAGTGGCATTGATGCACCGATCCATGGCCTTAGGGAGCTCGGCATCCCGCACCAGCATTTGTTTGGGAGTGAGGTGGCTGCTGGTCCTCGGTCGGTTATCGAGGCTAATACCAAGCCCTCGGTATTGTTCCACAGTGTCCTGGATGCTGACAAGGCACCGTTCGTTCACCTGTACATTGCCGGCTTCAGCTGCAAGCCGTTCAGCCTGCTGCACAATAAGTCAAGGCTCCTCAAGGAAAAACAGGCTCAAATATTCTATGGGGTCGTTGCACGCATCCAACTTGTGCGGCCCTCGTGCTTCGTGCTGGAGAATGTGTCAGGCATCAAGCGTGTTTCTGCAAAGGTTCTGGCGGCACTCAGGTCCACAGGCTATCATGTCGAAATGATTTTGATGAACCCTGCCGAGCTACAGGAGCCCATCCAGAGGCCTAGGTACTACTTCATCGGGGTCCGGCAAGATGTGAGCCTCATCTCGCCAAAGGACATGTCGTGCTGGCTTCGTGAGGCTTGGGCGGAAGTCCAGGATTCAGTTGCTTCCGGAGACGCAGTCGATCTTTTGGATAGACTGCTACCGGCGAGCCACCCTGCTGTGGCACAGTACCAGGAAAGCCGCAAACGGAAGTGGTCGCAAGCTTCCAACCGTGGGTTCCCAGGCTCCCAGGCTCCAGGCTCCCATGCTCCAAAGTGGAAAGAATTGCACAAGATGTGCAAAGCTTCAATGCAGCAGGGCAGCCGGTTGAAGAGTGAGAGTCGGAGGCCTTGCACTGAGAGCGGAGTCGCCTGCTGCGCAGACACGTTGTTCCTGCATTTGCCGCGTGAGCGTGATGCCTGGGACATCATTTGCACAAAGCATGCAGGCAGTCAGGAGCTTGTCGCGGATGTATCCCAGAATGTGAACCGAGCCCGGGTGCGGACCGATGGCTCCCTGCCTACTGTTACACCTGGGGCCGTACTGGTATCCGCACGAGCTGGAAGGATCATTAGCCCGCTTGAAAAAGTCATGCTGCACGGTTTTCCAATTCACCGTATGGTTTTTCCCAGCAAAGTGACCGACAAGGAGCTCGCCAGCATGCTTAGCCGCTCTGGGGGTTATCTATTAATTTAGGTTGGTTAACTTCGTTAACTAACTACTCTAATTTTTTTATTAACTAGTTATAAAATCACTTTTTTCATACTTGTGAAACACTTTTTTCAAGTTTCCACCTGTGGTCACCAGTGAATCAGGTGACTGTTTCTAGGAAAACACATCAATGGAATTTTAGTTTGTATGCGAGGCAAATAGATCATGAATGTCACAGGGGCTGCGAAATAGATGTGTGGGTGCACTCTGTGTACCTGTCTTTAGTCGAGCTTTTTCGAAGCGAGCAGGAAGCTTTTGCAAGCTTATTCTCAAGTGATTTGGAAGCACATTGCATGCTAGAGCCCGTGCTGGCTGATCCTGCTGTCCGGAAGCTTGTGCAGGCTTGCCAAGGACAGGGAAGGTTGCAAGCCATCGAGGCTGCAATGGCACGTTTGTTTCTTGTTGCTTGAAGGATATGAATTTTGCCGATCCAAGGCCGAGCATTTGGCTCCGGCGAGAAGCTATGTATGCATGATGCAAGAGTGGGAGCAGAGGTTCTAGGGAATACATGCATGTTGGCCTGTAACCATATGCTGGAAGGAATTGCTTTTGCATGCAGTATACAAGCTTTCACATATAATAGCTTCGCAGTTTTCGATCATGGCCGTTCCGGACTGGGCGATCACTGTGCAGGAACTGATCGACCAGCCTGATGTGAGCATAAATCAAAAATGCCAGAAGATCATGCTGCTGCTTCGTGAGCGACACCTGCTCTACGACTCCTTTGCGACCCCCATGGACGGTGCCCTCGTAAATCCACACGATGTCGTGTCCAAGGGCGTTCAAATCTCTTCCGTTGGCTGGGATCGCATGAAGTTGCGAGAAGCGGTAGCCATCGAACTTCCGAGGGACGAAGGACTTCGCAAGCACTTTCTCGAGATCAACACCCGCCTTGCCGAAATGTCCGAAGGCCGCTTGGCGAAGCCAACTGGTAAGGAGAGGTGGGCAACTCTTAGCTGTTCGCACACCAGTGCCTTCGTCAAAGCGCTGGCCAGCGGATGCGGTCCCAAATGTGGCTTGTCACTGGATGAGATCATGCACAGTGGGGACGACTTTGCGAAGCTTCTCACAGAAGGTTGGAGCTGGCGAGTCCTGGCGGCGGAAGTCGAGGAAAGAGTGCCAGCCTTGCCGGGGCTACTGCAGCAGGGCTTGAACTCGGACCTCGCGATCGGCAAACCGCCAAGCGAGCTGGAGGTCGCGATGTGCATCTCGCAAGCTTATGCAGCCGGCAAGGACTTGAAGAAGGCGGTGGCAGCGGCAGGCAGCTCCAACCCGCCCTGCAAACCGTATATTCAGGCGGTGGGGGATTTCGTGGCTCAGTTCCCACAGGTGAATCCTTCAAGATCTTGAAATATATGGATGCCATGAGCCGAGCATATGCCGGAAGCACGATGCTGGGCTCCGAGTTCACAAAGTGCCTCGCATACTCGGACTTCAAGATCCCCTCCACGAGATGTCCCATGATTCGCATTGCTTTAGCATTGACACAGATCACTGCACCAAGCAGTGCAGTCGTCGACGGCTTCAGCCGTCTGCTGACGAAGGGAGATATCGATCGCCTGAAGACAAAGAAAATGGAGGGCGATGTGAGCAAGGCAGAGGCTCTCATGCAGACAGCATGGCAGGTGGTCGAAGCTTCTTCGGAGCAGCCGCATCTTCAGATGGCCTTCTGCCGCTATCAGGTCCGGCTCATTCTCCACATGCTTGGCAAGCAGAGCAAGGGCATGGAGGGCAAGGAGTACAAGGACTTTGCCACCATGACGGAGATGTTCACCAAGGAGACCTTGCAGCCTGTTTCTGCAAAGACTTCCCAGGCTGCTGCTTCGTCTGGGGAGCAGGTCCGGGACATAGCGGACTCGAACAATCGGACTTTGATCGCACAGGAGCAGAACAAGCATGTGAAGGTAGGCAAAGCCTATTCGATCAAGAGGCCCGAGCTCGTGGAGGCTGAGAAGGACAAGGTGTTTGTCCTGAAGGACTTGAAGGAGGACGGTGCTACCTTGGAGCATCGGCCTTTCTTCGGCGACCAAGTGCAGGTCGAGAAGGTGGCTTTGCATGAGCTGAAGCATCTGAAGGAATGGACCAAAGCTGTGCCTGCTTTGGTTGAGGAGGCAGCTCTTGAGAAGCTTTGGCCCGGTGGCTCCACGGTTTTCCAAGAGGAGCTGGAGCGAGCAGAAGACCAAGGGCTTCTTTACAAGAAGTACTTGGAGTTTCCAAACTGCAGCAGGCAGTATATGATAAGCTTCATTGTTCACATGACAGTTTTTTCGAATTTTTCTGATAAGCCATTTTTCGAACTTTTTTTCATAAGCCACTTTTTCGAACTTTTTTCATAAGCAATTTCTTTCGAACTTTGTTCTGGTAAGCCATGTTTTTCGAACTTATTGTTTTCCTCCTGAGAAAGGTTGGGTGATCCAGATGTGAGACCGAGCACCAACGGCCTGCTATTCTCCAACTGCTCCTACGGCAAGTCCCAGCTGCAGCTGTTTCCCTTGGGGCAGTTGCAAAAGGTGCAGAAGCCTCGTCCCCAGGATGTCGTGGTCCAGAAGAAGGGAATGAAAGAGCACTGCTATGTCATTTCGCCTGTTCGCTGGGACATCCAGAAGCAGACCGGCTACTTTTGCCCGTTTTGGATGATCAAGGAAGCGCCGGATGCCACGAGTGCTACCCTTACCAGATCCACGAAGAAGATCGGCGAGATGGTGGTTCCTGTTTTTTCAGAACAAGGTTGCTTTGAAGATGGGCGACCAGTTGCTGGTGGAGCCGAGGCCGGAAGCTTCTACTGGCAGTGGCAAGAGAAAGCGCTGATGGCTCGGCTACTTCAGACTTGTTTTCCTTCGGCAGATCTCCTGTGCAGTGGATGTGCAGGAGGTCATTTTCACATTCCTGGCAAGCAGGAAGACTTGCATACCATTGGCAGCAAACGAAAGCAAAAAAGTTCGCTTCATACAGACACCGAAGACTCCGAAGTCCAATCTTTTGCAGGAGCTCATGTGTAAGCTTCCAAAGTGGAACTTGCAATACTTCATGCTTCAGCCTTGACTCCTCCAGTCGTGCCCCTGCAGCTTCTTCTGCCGGCAGGGTTTGGCTCGACGGCATGCTGCTGACTCGGCAAGTCATCCTGCAGTACAAGGACGGCCCCAAGGTCCCTGTTGCCGAGGGTTTGTTGCACGAAGCAGACAATGGCCAGCAGTATCTTCGGTTCAGGCCGAGCAGCACAACTTTGACGAGAGCCCTGCTCGGCCATATGGAGAACTTCAAGACTTTGAAGAATCCAAGCTTGAGCTGCAGCCCACAAGTCTCGCAGCTCCGGGAAGCGGTGAAGGCCAAGATCCTGGAAATGGGAAGCAAGGAGCCTGCGGATGGTGGCGACAGGGAGAACTTGTTCGCCGCTGAGCCTGCAGGCGATGAAGAGGACGATGGCAATGAAGTCACCTCCCGAAAGCTTCGCGAAGTTTTGGAGAAAGCGCCAGATGTTCTCCAAATAAAGCTCGCTGGGAAGCCGGTGGAGGTCTTGAAGCCAAGGTCTTGGCGACAGACGGACATTCTGATCAAGCTGGCAGTGTCCGACCTGGAGCATGTCTTCGATTTCCTTATGCTGGACATTGATTCGGTGTTCGAGAAGGCGAAGCGAGCCTATGTGCGATCTGGCAAGTATGTGGGCGGCAAGAGGAAAGCTCAGGATGAGGACAAGCAGAGTTTGTCCGACTGAGAAGACCAGTGTGAGTCAGTGCTCTCGGATGCATGAAGCTTGCCGGGCCGTGACAAAAAAGGAGTGTGCTTTGCAGTTTCCAGCCACTTCTAAGGCTTCAGGGATCGGTAGTTGGTGATTTGAAAGCCTTTGGAGGCTCCTGCTGTGTCTACAGGATTCCAGGAGCCTGTGAAGGCTGATTTCCTTAGTAATTCAGCCTTTGCAGGCTTCTGCTTTGCCTATAGGCTAGAGAATTGAAAGAGCCTGTGAAGGCTGTTGTGCTTGGTCGCAGAGCCTGTGCAGGCTGCAGGAGTAATTGTGTCACTCGAGCCTCTGAAGGCTACAAGAGAAGCTTCCACGAGCCTTTGCAGGCTACAGCAATATGTGCGTGTGTGTTTTGCAAGAGAGGCACACATGCAGAACTGCTGCAGGTGTGCCTACTCAAGCATGGCGGGATGGGAGAGGGCCGTGCCGGAGAGCGACCCGGAGGCCGGGGCGCTTTTATCATTGGGCGACAGAAGCAGAAGGTTTCTAACAGGCGATGTTTTGGGTTCAAATTCAATAGAGCCTCCTGGTGATGTGCAGGCACCATGGAAGCGACAGAGGATCGCTGAGCAGCAGGCCCTTGAGTTTGCTTAGGGTGGTTTGATACTCCCTAGGCTTTGGGAACAATCATGCCAACGTGTCCCTGGGCAGGCCTGGACCGGCCTGGAGTATGCGGTTGCCAATGCTGTGGCTCCGAGCATGGCGGACTACAACCACAAGCTCCTCCACGGCGAGCCCATGAAAGGCCAGATGCCCAACATGGAGGTGACGGCTGCTATGCTGCAGCAGCAATACGATGATGCTCGCCGACTACAGGAAGAGGAGAACATCCTTCGCCGGGCAAGTGAGATACAGGCCGCCAGACAGGCGGGGACTCCGGAAGTGCTCAGCAACCAGCGGATCCAGGAGCTCAAAGAAGAGGACTTTCGCCGACAGCGAGTACAGCAGGTCCCCACTTCTTTGGCTCCGCCACCGCCGGTGGCACCAGGAGGCCCTGCAGGACTTGGAGAAGATGACAGTGCAGGCCACGGCAACCAGGTAGCTGCCCCGCCGCCCGCAGCAACCGAGCATGTGGCACAAGAAGAGGATGAAGAGGAGGACGATGCTTGGGATGAGTGGCAGTGGTGGCACCAGGGGCACCACCAGGGTGGGCAATCCACAAGGGTTCCTGCTTGGCACCAGGAGTACATCGATGCCGGGTGGATCCAAGATGCTGGCAACCCGCATATCTGGTGGAAGCAGCACTGGGACGGCCACTGGCAGAGGTGGAAGCAACCTGCTACTCAACGGCAGAATTGCAAATTTTCTCTCAAAGCTGCAGGTGTTGTCCAGGGTTTGCGGGTTAAGTGACCTCAGTCAGCAGCCGAGGTTCAGGAGAAGAATCGCTCGGGCTGGGCTTGCAAAATGGCGGTCATCTGCCATCGCTGGCAGACCAACCAGGTCGACTCCCTCAACCGCGACCTCCGGCGGATCTGCGAGCACCCGGGCATGGCCGCTCCCATGCGGGACCTGAGGAAGATGATCGGGAACGTGGAGAGGACGCCTATCGGTACTACCTCTCTTGATGGACCATGCTGAACCGAGGGGTGTGAGAAAAAGACAGTGTGAGTTTCTTTTTGGAATAAGTGCAGGAAGCCCTTGCAGGCTGCTGGCAGACAAGCCTTTGCAGGCTTCGGTGAAGCTGTGTGGGGAGGGGAGCCTTTGGAGGCTGCAGGGGAGCCTTGGGGAGCCTTTGCAGGCTGAAGCCAGTAGCGAGGGAGCCTCTCGAGCTTCAGCGGAGCCTGGGGGACTGTGTTTTCCTGCGGAGGGATTGTGTCAGCAGGCATGTTCCAGTTGGTTTGGGAGCAGGAATGCCGGCCGCTGCAGCTGTTGCCGGGCCGAGACACACTGTTGTGTATCTTGGGTTCTAAGAACATACAGAAGCAAGCTAAGTTGCAGAATTCAAAATCTGAATTCAAATCACAAACCTTGGTCGGGAAATTCAGCAGATTAATTTCCCGACGGAAGTTTGTATTTGAATTCAGATTTTGAATTCTGGTGGAAGGGTTTGGTTTTTGAATTCAGATTCTGAATTTCCGGTGTCGGCTGGGCTTAAGCTACTTTTGCTGGGAGTTAGGTGTTCATCCCTGATAGCAGCCATGCAGGGCCGCGGCGTTGCCGGGGCCAGGTGCTGCTCGACCAGGGGATGCGGCCGCGCGGCGGAGCCGCCGCATCGCTTCTGCTGCAGTGGCTGCAGACACAGCGGTGGCTCCGAGCACAGCACACGTTGTGACCGAGCCCTTGTGGATCCTCGTGCGGTCCGAGTCTGCAGGCGTCTGGGTTGCGATTTGCTGGTGACGGGAACCCATTTGTACTGCTGCAGCGGATGTCGTGGGGGATATGGTCATGCTCCTTCCTGCCCTCTTCGACAGCTAGATTGCCGCAGGATGCAGGAGGAGCAGAACCGCCGGCAGTTGCGAGAACGGCCCGAGGAGCAGCAGCGGCAGCAGGACGAGACGAATGCTGCGGAGGATGCGAAGGACCCGGCTGGTCGCGGAGGCTCTTGGCTGGACGACATGGACTAGGAACCAGCGATGCTTGAGTGTATGAAAAGAGGAGAGATTCCATTCCTGGTCCCTGTAGACTTCTAGCCTGATGCGGGGCAAAAGTCCCGAAAAGCAAACCCCCTCTCCCGGCCTGGGAGAGGGGGTTTGCTTTGAGGCATTCTTGGGGCTTGTTTTTAGCCTCTAGAGGCTTATAAGAGGCCTGCTTTTAGAGGCTACGTAGTGTGCGAAAACTTGTCTTCACAGCCTCCAGAGGCTTTGATTTTCTTAGCTTATAAAAGCTTGCACGAAACCAGCCTTCACATGCTCCCTAGAGTCGTGAAGCTTTTATTGGTAGCCTCTACAAGCTACGTCCGGATGTGTCCTGCGAACCATGCCTCCTTGTCTCTTCAGAAAGACCCTTGCAGTGGCATTGTTGCAGTTGTGGCCCAGAAGTTAGATTCCCAACAGGGTGTAGCAACCGGAGAGGCCATGACTTGGACGGCCAAAGATTTCGTGGGGGAGCTCGAGGCCTGCGAGAAGCTCCTTGCTGCTCGGAACACAGAGCAGATGCAGGATGCATTGCTTGCCCAGCTGCAGTCCAAGCTGAACAACATCGGCCAAGTGGGGCCCTCCGAGATGGTGCTGTGCTACGAAGCTTTGGAGCGAGCTAGCTTGCCGGACGGCATGACGGACAAGTTGCAGGAGACCTTGGATGTTATCGCTGCTGGTGCTCATCAGAGCAATGGGGCCACGAACCTCGCGGCAGTGGCACAAACATGTGCCACCTTCGAGCACTACTTGACGGAGAAGGATGCAGCCGCCCTGGGCAGCTGCAGTATGTGGGAGGGCTGTCGCCACATCGCTTTCCGGCTTCGCATGATCGGGGTCAAAGGCATGAAAGAATCCTTGAAGAAGAGATGTACCGCGATCTTGGTTTGGTTCCATGTTCACCACCAAGGCAACCCGGTGCCGGCGGCTCGTGTGGGCTATGACCTGAGTCTGCGGTTGATGACAGAGCTCAAGCAGTCCAACACAGCGATCCCACCGGGAGCTCCATCTCTTGCCCGCTATCCTCCGGATCCTCTGCGGTTGCCGGCCTCCCACCTGCAGGCATCCTATCCGGATGGACTTCCAGCCAAGAAGGACTTGAACGGCTTGGCCACTTTGATGCAGCATCACATCTTCGTCCGATCCAATGGCAAGTTGCTGCAGGACTATCTTGGTTTTAGGCTCTTCAAGATATTATTTCTTACAAGCACCCTAGCAGGCTAGCACGGGACGAAACCCTTAACCCCAAACACGAAACTATTTTAATTTTGTTGAGCTTCGAAGCTACAACAATGACTCCTGGATGCCAGGAGTCCCTACAGCCCAAAGTCAACGTCGTCCTGCCTGCGGCTCCCGCACAGCCCTTGGCGGCACCGGACTCCGACACCAAGTTGGTCAGCAGCCTCATGGCCTTCTTGAAGAATGCCAACACCATCCAGAGCCAGACCCAGCCGAGTGTGCAGTTCCTGACGCAGCCGACTGCAGCGAGCAGCCGCAGCCAGGGAGCTGCACAGGCTCCGTGCGAGCAGACGAAGGCTTCTTTGCCTTTGCAGAACGGTTCGCTTGCCCCTGGTGCAGACACAGCTTCTTTGCCTCTGCAGAACAGCGCCGAGCCAGCGAAGACGCTTGAGCAGTTCGAAGCAGAGCACTTGGCTATGCTTGAGGCCAGAGACAAGAAAGCGGCTTCTACGAAGCAGGTCGGACAGGACAAGCAGGGCGACTGTGGCTCCAAGCCTGCGAGCAAGGCTGCAGCCAAGAGCCGGGCAGCAAAGCCGGGACCCAAGGCTGGAAAGCCTAAGGCAAAGGGCAAGGTTCTCAAGAGGCCAGCAGCCAAGGCTTTCGAGTTGCAGCCTCGTGCAGACAACCAAGGCTGCTTGCGCTGCAGGGGCAGCCGGAACGGCTGCCCGACGTGTTTGGATGAAAGCTTCCGAGGCCTCAGACTGACCCGCTCCGAGTGGTTGCAAAGGCAGCAGCTCTACGGGTACAAGTAGGTTTGGGCTTTTGGCCTGCAGGGGTTTAGGGGTAGGAGCCATCTGCTGCTCAGAAGCGCAGATGCAGCTCAGATGCAGGGGTTGCTCCACTTGCAGGAAAGAGTTCAAGACTCCACTGGAAAATGCAGTGCTGCAATGCTGGTGTTTGTCCTGCAAGTGCGGAGCAGGGTACTCGGGCGGCTGTAAGGAGCCGAGCAAAGCGGATGCATCTGCAACGAGAAGAAAAAAGAAATCCAGCTTCTAGTGCACTCCTTTCCTGGCCAAGTCAAATAGCTTCTGGAAGCTGCCGAAAACCCATGGGAAGTCGCCAGAGCCCCATATAGTTGGAGCTGTATAGGGACACTTGCCTCAAGCCTGAGATTCGAGATATGTTTTTAACAAGCTATATAGCAGACAGGACACAAGCGCCAGCTCAGCACAAACATCCCCACGACAGACATGAAGCACTTGCAACAGAACGCTCATGGTGTATGGCGCTTTTGGATCCGACAGTAGCTCTGCCCCCTGTGAGGTGCAAAGCTACCTTGCATGGCGGAGCCGAGCAAGAAACGAAAGATTCTGGATGTGAGACAAGAAGCTCCCTTTTGCTCGCAGACTGCCTTAGCGGCCATATGCCAGAACATAGCTGAGCATGGGTTGCCTGAGAAACATTCTCGCCGAGACATCTGGAAGGAGACGGAAGAGCTGCTCCACAACCCAAGCATGGAAAAGTATGGCCCTCTGTTTCAAACAGCAGAGGCAGAGACAGTGAAGGGACCAAAGCAGAAGCTGCTGTTCGTGAACTTCCTTTCGCTGTTGGCTGGAGTGTTCCATGCAGCTGGCCCGTTCGCGAGGTGGCTGCTGGATTTGCATGCGAAGCATCCTTCTTCGTACGACTCGTGTTGGGATGCAGTGATATATGCTGATGAAATGCATCCAGGCAACCAACTAAGTTCCTCATCCAGGAAGAGTTGGTGTGTGTACATTTCTTTTCTGCAGTTCAAGTCGCTTCTTTCCCGTGAGGATTTCTGGTATTGCCTCTGTGTGAAGCGAACTGAAGAGGTCTCTGAGCTCAAGGCTGGAATGTCGCAGGTCATGCGCCTGATCCTCGAAAGCCTTTTCGGCACAAGGTTGCCAGAGACTGGTGTGCTCTTGGCATCTGCTGTTGGAACGCTTCGTCTGCACTTTCGTCTGGGAATGATTCTTCAGGATGGGGCGGCTCACAAAGCTGTGTTTTCTAACAGGCAAGACACAGGTTGCAAGCCATGTCCTCTCTGCAGCAATATTTTTCAGCTGAAGGACACTGGCAACAGCGGCAGAAATGTTTGGGGCCAGTTTCTCAAGAGATCGGATTGCATCGTGGCATCGGACGAAGAGATCATGGCCTGCTGGGAGCGACTGGCGGAGGCAAAAGGTTCGCAGCCGGCAGGTCACTTCGAGCAGCGGCAGAAGGCTGCTGGGATGACTTGGTCGCAGCATGCACTGCTGTCTTCCTCCTCATTGCAGCAGTTGGGCCTCTGCCGGCCAAGCAGCCTTTATTGCTACGACTATATGCGTTGCTTGGTTTCGCATGGAGTGATGAATGAGATGGCTTTTTGGGTCCTGGAAGACTTGACACAGAGTGGGCTGCTGTCCAAAGACTGGTCACGTTTGCAGCAGTGGCTAGGGCTCTGGAACCTGCCAAATGGACATGCGAACTTCAAGCTGGATGGTTTGTTCTCGAGCAAAGCCGTGGCATCCTACAGGAAGGCTGGATCAGTCAAGGTCGGGGCCTCCGAGATGCTCACTTTGTGCAAGCCTCTGCAGTTCTTCCTGCAGAGCAATTTCCTGAGCCATGGCCTGCAAGAGGCGACGTGCCGAGCATTTGTTGCTTGGGCCGACGTGCTGGACTATGCCCACAGCATCCAAGGTTTGCAGAATCCCTCGCCTCCTCGTTTTTTGCACTTGGTCGAAGCGGCATTGCAAGCCACAGTTGAGGCTGATTTCTCAGATCACCTGAGGCCAAAACATCACTGGCCCCTGCATCTTCCGGATTGCTTGCAGCGGTGGCAGCAGCTGCCCTCCTGTTGGGCTTTGGAGCGAAAGCATAAAGTTCCGAGAAAGTACGGCAGCAACCAATTTGGCTTGGAAGCTTACAACAAGGCGGTCATGACTGGTGTGACACAGGAGCATGTGGGCAAATTGCTCAAGGACGAGGAGCTTTTCGTGCACAGCAGCCACATCATATCGAAGACTGCCCTCGGCAAGCCCCTGGAGTCCTTCTTGAGAGCCAACGACTGGCTGTTGCCTGGAATGGAAGCTTCTGGAACATGCCGCTTGGAAAACGGCATGTTGTGCAAAAGCGGCGACATCCTTTTTTACAGGTGCGGAAGCAAGCAGCAGCACAGCAGGCTTTCCTTGGGCTTGTGGTTCTTTGAAGCATTGCATCAGTGCTGCAGGCATGGAGTTGGCTGTGGTGCTAAGCTTCCTCTTCGTCAAGGAAAAGCCTGGCACTCATGCCAGTGTTTGGCAAAGCAATCCTGACAGGTTCCAGCTGGTGAGGCTGCAGGACCTGTTGCAACCTGCAATCTACAGTCATGGGAGCGATGGTTGTGTCACATGCTTGCTTCCAGCACCTCTCTCTGCAGCTCGGTGACGTGTGCTTGAAAAAAACGGAGACTCAACAGTTTGGTTCTCCAGTTCAGGGTTTAAGGGTTTGCTTAAGGTTCTCCTTCGTTGCGAGGTAAGAAAGCGCACTTGTAGGGTTTTAACAGATTTCGGTTGAAATTTCCATATGCTCCTTTAAGCTTCTGCAGGCTCTGTAGCTTCTGAAAGCTATCCGCAGCTTTGTGCAAGGTCTCCAGCATCTGTATGCTCCTCGCTAAACTTTGCACAGCTTCTGAAAGCTATCCGCAGCTCTCTGCAAGCTGCCCGATTCCCAATATAAAGCCAGTTTAGGCTCGACCAAAACAATAAGAACCTTTTGCAGAGCGTTGACGTCATGTTTATGGCGCAAACTTGCATCCGATTTGAGATTTGGACACAGCTCGCGAACAAGTCTTACGTAAAGTTTCTTGCTTTCATTCTGGCGGAATCGTTGCCCTGTCTACTATTTAAACAAAAACGCAGGCATGCCATATTTGGGATGTCTCTCTAATTCCTCAACTTTCGTCGTGTCACGTCCTTCATGCTACTGCTTTCTGCCTGTCTGAAACGAAACATGGTTGGTTGCTTCTATAGAAAAAAGCTATTCAAATTCAGAAACTCTACTTCAAAACAAACTCGCGCCTGGTTCATCTTCAACCACTATTTTTTTAGCTAACCCTGCTAACTTTTATATTGCTTTGTCAGACTTAGCATAACTTTACTTTGGAAATATACAACTTATGTAACATGATTATTTTTTATAGCCGTTATAACTCGTTATAACACGATACAACTAGTTGCTAACCAATTAACATCTATTTAGTATTATGCCTAAATGCACTAAACAATTAGCTAAAACCCAGAGCGGCTAAGTGGGCGGCAACACGATGCATGTGCAGATTGTGGCCGTAGCAATGAAGTTTGCGCTTGCGTTGGTAAACTGGAGCCTGCCCAAAGCTTCCCGGCCGACAGCCTTGTGCAGCACGGTTGCTGCGCCAAGCATAACTGCTTCAGTTGTGCTCGGCGCAGCAGCGAAATGCCGCAAGCGCCATGGCAAGCCACGGAAGGCTCCCAAGGCGCCCAAGGCTGCATCGGCGCAGAAGGCTCCAAAGGCACCAAAGGCTCCAAAGGCTCAGAAGGCTGAAGGCATGTCAGCTTTGGCAAAGCGTTGGCAGAAAGTCGTGAGACCGCAGTCAGCAAAGAAGTGCTCGAGGAAGGGTGCCACAGCCCCATTAGCGTGCCGTCTTGCCCATCGCTGGGCAAAGTAGCCATTAAATTCGTCATTAATGACGGACCGGAATGGCATGCGTTTTCTAATTAGGCCACTCGGAGTTGGCGTCATAGACTGACTCTACTTAGGTGAGGCCGGGTGCAAAATTCGGGAAAGCCTGCTCCGAGCAGTACAGATTTAGACTGGGTCACCCTGCCGACTCCCAGCGAAACAAACCGCCGCAGTGTGCATAGGAGTTCGCGGCAGTGTTTTGCCATTCGGGCTGCTTGACTCGGGGTAATACCCTCAAGTCTGCCAGGCAGCTGCTCGCTGTCGGATCGAACGGGAAGCCGGAGGCGCGGGTCTCGGGTTAGTCGGTTGGACCAGTTGCAGAGTCTGATTCAGTTCCAGTCTTAGCACGGTTGCCACGGTTGCGTTTGCTTGTCATTGTAAGTGCTGCGTGGTCGCTTCAGGCTCCCAGGCTCAAGGCTCCAAGGCCCCCAGGATTTCAATGCCAGTGGGTAGCCCCACCCTGCGTGGTCTTGCCGCTCGGTTCGGACTACGCTCCCGGAAGCAGGACCGGACGCCGGCAAAAAAACGACGAGGTCCACAAGGATCCGTGCCTGCGGCCCCGAAGAAGCTTCGGCTTGAGTCCGGCGAAGGCCTGGCTCAGGAGGGCGACGACGACACCGGAAAGGGATGTGGCGATGTTGGTCTCGCGACTGAGAGCGATGCAGAGCATTTGGCTCGCCATCGTGGTGGCGACGAGAAATGCAGCCGATGCAAGCTGCCCGGTTCAGAAAGCCTTTAGATATTATTTATTAAAATCTAAATTTATATTAATGTTAAAGGTTAGTCTTCATAAGGTTTCTGAACCGGGCAACTAGACATACTACATACATACATACTTACATGCCTGCCATGCATGCATACAGTACATTCATGTCAATCTTTTAATGTTTCTTTTTGGTGCTTTATCATATTGCTCTCTTGGTTTCTCTCTCTCTCTCTCTCCGTGGCTCTCTCTCTCTCTCTCTCTCTCTCTCCGTCTCTCTCTCTCTCTCTCTCTCTCTCTCTCTCTCTCTCTCTCTCTCTCTCTCTCTCTCTCTCTCTCTCTCTCTCTCTCTCTCTCTCTCTCTCTCTCTCTCTCTCTCTCTCTCCTCTCTCTCTCTCTCTCTCTCTCTCTCTCTCTCTCTCTCTCTCTCTCTCTCTCTCTCTCTCTCTCTCTCTCTCTCTCTCTCTCTCTCTCTCTCTCTCTCTCTCTCTCTCTCTCTCTCTCTCTCTCTCTCTCTCTCTCTCTCTCTCTCTCTTTTGGATCGTTCTTGTTTGTGGCAGACTAACTATGTTGCAGTTGCTGGCTGGTTCATGTCAGTCAGGTTCCTTCGCTTCCAGGATGTTTGGAGCAAAGCCGGAAGCCTCACCCACACGTCTTGGGGCAAGCAGCAGCGGACAGTTTGGCTGGGCCAGAGACCAGCTCGCCGAGGAGGAAATTGGGGCATCGGCTGTCACTTTTGTGCACACTTGATGCATGTTTTGGCACAGAACCCAGCAGAGCGGAAGAGGTTGCAGTCCGGCCGAATTGTGCAGTGTAGTACGAGCGGATATGTCTGTTACATGCCATGCGTAGTAAATTGATTAAAAATCCACTGCTTCCGCCCCCTTTGTAATTAATTGCTGACCGTCACCAGCCCAACTTTCGCAGCCCTAAATGCCTAAGGCTGGGGAGTGGCCTCTCTACCAAGTGGGGTGCCTATGAGGTCCGATCAAGGACCGCATCATGTTGTCGCTGTCAGCTGTGACTTAAGGCATCAGTCGCAGACTTTGGCAGGAGTGCGATGCAGGCATGCTGCATACACGCTCACAGCAAGACCTTCGTTCACCAGGTGGCCACGAAGGTTTTCCTAGC